TAAGACACCACGGCACCCATTTTCCAAATTCAAAGTTTCGACTTATCTATATTTTAAGGCTAATATTGGCCTACGCTTCATCATTTACGGCTCGACTTATTCTCTCGCATTATACATGTAAAACAAATTCCCTCTTCCACTACACACTTGTTCGGCCTTTCAATGGCAATTAACGAATTATTCTCCCTCCTTCTCGGGGGGAAAAGAAAACAAAGAAAAAACTCAGATTTGGCTTTTCCCCTCTCTTCACCCTTTTCAGAAGGAGGGACAAGAAAACAAAGAAAAAACTCAGTTTTGGCTTTTCCCCTCTCCCCACCCTTTTCAGAAGGAGGGACAAAAAAACAAAGAAAAAACTCAGTTTTGGCTTTTCCCCTCTCCACATCTTTTCACATTCTTCTCCACTCTTCCCCACCCCCTCCCCCTTAAAAAGAAAATAAAAAACGACAGAAAGGTGAAGAATTCAACAAAATTTGTTTCCAAAAACATACAGCATCAAAGAAATCACTTTCGTTGACACGCCGATCCAAATGCTGAAAATCATCGATGCTTGCATGCTGGCTTTTCAGGACAACCTCCTGGCCACCATCCTTGATTATTATGACGATTTTATTCCCTTCATGGATATCTAAGACATTCCAGTCCTTTCGATAACATAAACGATTGCACAGGTCACCGCTTACTTTTTTTTCCGCATAAGCGCTGCATAAGTTCAATAGCACGGTATAAGCTCTGAAATTTTACGGTTCTTTAGAAAATGAGGCCTGCCTTCAAAATGGTTTAAAAAATGAGGCCTGCTAAAAAAAAATACCCGGATTTCCCGCGGGTGCACTCTGATCTGACATATGTGCACCTCCTCCCCCTTGCGGCACGCGATCCCGATTTTATCAAGTTGTAATCCGTACCCAATTTTAACTGTCTTTTAAACTGAAGCATTGGAATATATCAATTTTGCATATAAGGGAAATTTAACTGTACTTCTTGTTTATGACTAGTTTTCGCGCACTCATCGCTACACTGAAACAGTAGGATAGAGGAACTGAACCTAACTGTCGTGCGTAAGAAGACATTTTACAATGTTGTCACTGTGTTTCATCCCATAGCTGTAATCACAGACCGAATTCTGGATGCGCGTAGGAGCGGGAATCATCAGTACAGCCTCCTATCCACCACGCACTGAACAGTCATGTGACTAATTTGCAAGACGGATACGCGAGAGGAAGAGAAAACAGAGAGCGAGAACGAAAAGTGAGAGAGAGGAGAGAAAGAGGAAGAAATTAACCCATGATACGGACAGCCATTATCTGTCAATTTTGAGGGGACTTTTTTTATGCGAATAGTGTGTTGACTAGTCGTTCAAGTACACTTTTGGGCATGGTGCGACCGCAAGTAGCACTCGATAGCTCGAATTCGCCAGTGGGACAATCAATCTCTCTCAACGATTCATTCACTCGTTTCAATGGTAAACCGAAATCGGTGAATGTCTGAGTTCTCTTTTGCAAATGAGTAAAGACCAGAAGGAAATCCAACTTAACTGCCATGTGTAAGAAGAAATTTTACGATGCTCTCATTGCGTTTCATCTTTTAGCTGTAAACACAGACCGAACTTTGAACTTTATGCGACGTACTAACTGCACCAAAAGTTCCCGTGCTAGCTTCAGAGCATTCTTTTTTGAGCGTATCTACTTTTGTGATAATCTATATCTATCTCATTTTTGCATACCCCCACTTTGGCAATATACGCTTTTTTTTTACGGCCTTTTTTATGGTACCAAGAAACAGAAGCTGAATTCGATGCAATCACAGTTTTGATTATCTCCTTTCTATCTTCACTTCGCTTTCTCATCTTCTCCCCTGTCTTTTCATTACGCCATTCTTATGCCAACGGACACCTGTTCTACATAAAAATGGCGAGTAGAAGGCTGTACTGATGATCCTCACTTCCACCCGCATGATGCGTTCGGTCTGTATTTACAGCTAAGGGATGAAACACAGACTGCACCCTCAAACGTCTTCTTGCACATGACACTTAGACTGATCCCTTAATTCTTTCTAATATTTGATCATAACAAATAGCCAAGAAAATCCAGCAAGTTTTAACCTATATAAAATTCAAACTGTCTCGTTTCCTGCACCAGTTATGCATAAACCTCAAAGCAATCACTGCTTGCACCTGGTAAACTCGAATTAGCTCATCGCTAGGATTTATTACGCACGAAATGCGCTGAAAAAGGCGAAGAATTTGCTAACTTTGAATGATTGCTTGGAGCTGGCGTTTGTTCTCCTGCTTTCACTGCTGTTTCGCCACTCCAACCTGCAATTTACAAAATAAATAGCGGTGCGCACCAGGGCAGTTGATGCAGTCATGCGTTTTGTGCAATTTCATTCACCGAAGAATTGCCTGCTAAAGATTTTCACGGCTCTGAATTTAAATTTGAGGGATTGTATGTGGAGAGGTAACAGACTCCCAAATTTCAGCTTCCTAGATTCCGCGATTCCCTAGATAATAGTTCACGAGCCAAAAGTTTCATAGAGCTGTGTATATTACCCGTGGGTACGGGAAGACTGAATTTAATTTTTCTAGATCACACGTGGACAGGAGATATGCCCACAAAATTTCAGCCTTCTAGCTTTCGTGGTTCCCGAGATAATAATTTTCCCCGCCAAAATTTTTACGGTGCCGTGCATGTTATCCGCGGGTCCGGGGGAGGGAGGGGGGCTGAATTTAAATTTGCGAGGTTATACGTGGGTGGCGAACATTACCCTAAGTTTTCAGCTTCCCAGCTTTCGTAGTTCCCGAGTTGAAAGTTGCAGACAAGTTGCTGAGGACACACACACAGACAACCTCGTGACAATATGCCTTTGTGCTGTTACACAGCACAAAACGCATTAAAAAAATAGAAAAAACATTTAAATAACGTCTTTTTCGAGGCATCATAAAAATTTGTTAATACATTAATTTTTGAAGTTTTTCAATATACTGTTCTAAAAAAGCTGTACTGACTGGACTTATTATGGTGCTCTACTCAAAACAAATCTGAAAGGAAACAGATCTATGTAAACGACGAAAGAACGAAAAGGCATAATTACTCAAATATGGAGTATTACTAGAAAGATCGGTACACTGTCAAAAAATGCTTTTTGGGCATCTTTCGCCCTTTTTTAACGAATTACCCGTGACAATACCTATGGCTGATGCGCACAAAAAAAAAAAACAGCAAATTCGGGAGCTGAAAAATGTGTGCCACCTACACTTAGGCGGATCCAGGGCGGTCTTCTGGGAGAGAAGGGGGGCAATTTTCCCTCTCCTTTCGTCACTGCACCCCTCTTCGCTCGGCCAGCTCGTTACTCATCGCTCGATCGTCCCGCTACCCCCTCTTCCCCCAGTCGACCCTAAACTATGCGACGACTGGGGAAGGGTCTCCTGGTGAAGAGAGGGAAGCCCCGGGGGGGAGGGGGAGAGGGGGGAGGAGGGGAGGGGGCAAGTGTTATCGAACACTGTTTTCTACAGTAAAACAGCTGCTACCTGAGTTCTTGAGAGGCCAAAGACTCCTCGCCCTCTCCCCCTCCCCTACCTGGAACTGCCAATGCATCTACAGTTGTAGGCGCTCAGTGCAAAAAAAAAAAAAAAATTCACTGAAATCCCATACATTAAAAAAAAACAATTCCTCCAGCTACGTTGTTGAAGTTGAGAGCCTAGTAGCATGATGGTTAACAGATCACAAACTTCGAAGGATCCGGAGATAGTAAAAATGACGCGCACGTGTACAGATCATTGCAAAATGGGGCTCTGTTCATGGCAAAAAATCTGCAAAAAAAAAAGTTCAACTCACTTGTAGCAAGTAAGTAGATTGTGAGGACTGTAATAAGGGCAAAAATGACACGGCTTAGTTTTGAACAGAGCAATAATCGCACAGAACAGGGAGTCGAATCGCCGGAGCTAAAATTAGTTGAAATTCTTAAGGATTCTCACATCGAAAAGCCTGAGCTTTAATGACCACATTGTGTACGTATGCAATAACGACGCCCCTCTTAGAATTCAAAAAATAAAAAAAAAAAATTGTTTTTGGTGATAAGCACTAAGTCAGAAATGCGCTTGTATTTAAGATACTACGTCGGAACAGCAACTTTACGATATTATAAAAGAAAGGAGAATTGGTGGCGTGACAACGGACGTCGATGACATACAGCTACTCAGAAATGTAGAGGGATATTCCCAGATCATGTACAACTCAAGAATTTCAAATTCAACTTCCAGGTATGCGTGGCTCGCACGGACCCGGGGAAAAATTTTGGCAGGGAAAAAAATGCAAAAACGCATAAAAACCGATCATAAGGTTAATTTTTGGTACTGTATACGATATGAGAAAGTAAGTTGACCTTGAGAATTTATGCTGGTATCAGTGAAAAAAAAAACCATTGGTGAGCTTAAGGTTCGGATCAATACTCTAGGACTGTAACAACAATTCCTCGCATTTTTACCTCAACTGTTGACCACTGCAGCAGCAATCGAACAAATCATCCTCGTCGCTATCCTCGTAATACAAACCATGCCGTACAAACGGTCGAATTTTCGTATATTCGGCCAGCGGCATCGTTTGCGTACACTCTCATCAACTTAGCATCTAAAAAACAACGATTGTTGAAGCGAAACATTTCTTACCATTATAATAATTTTATTAAGATAATTTTTTAACTTTTAAAAATTTCTTACTAATTTCTCAATATTATTTGGTTTTACTAATTTCTTAATATTTTATTAAAATAATTTTACAATTTTTACTAATTTCTTAATATTTTATTAAAATAATTTCACAACTTCTACTAATTTCTTAATATTTTATCAAAATAATTTCACAACTTCTACTAATTTCTTAATATTATTATTTACTATTTGGTAAAACATATTTTTTTTTGTTTTCTTCCAACTTTGAAATATTTTCCTGGTGCTTTCCGGGGTCAGCGAAGTGGGTTGAGTTGATGAACAGTTAGTAAAACTAAAACTGACCTTTACGAGAGTGACCGCGGGCTTTCTGCAGTGGTCAGTTCTTTTTTTTTTAATAACCCAATGGGTTCAAAATCCTGGAATTCAAAAATTATTACTATTATAGAATATTTCAAGCATCAAATTTGACTGCGAAGTTAATAAAAATCACAATATTTAAAGGAACGCACGCAAAAATGCCTCTGATTGGCACAAATTTCATAGCATCATTGATGCCCTCAAAGTGTAGAACCGGAAGGACCATGCCTACCACCGTTAGCAAAAAACTGCTACTGAAGGCTGTTGACACAAGTGTTATTAAAGGTAGTGTGACATATGGATGTGAACACTGGAATAAAAGGATTGGACTAGGTGTCATGTATAAAAAGACATTTTATGATGCAGTCTCTGCGTGTTTCATCCCTTAGCTGTAAACATAGAGCGAATTATGCGTGCGGGTAGGAGCGGGAATTATCAGTACAGCCTCCTACCCGCCATATACTGAAAAGCCATGTAACTAATTTGCAAGACGGATATGTGAGAGGAGAAAAAACACAGAAAGACCAGAGTAACAGAGAAGTGAAAGAAAAGCGAGTTAATTCTAGTTATGGGAAACTATTTCCAGGAAATGCTTCTTATGAGAATAGCATGCTGACTAGGCGTTTAATTTCCGTGCCATCAGGAAAGATGAATTTGCTGAGTACTGACGGGTTCCTGAAGCAGAATCTGAGA